GGTAATCAAAATTCTCTCCTGAAACATTTACGTGATTTAGTTAAGAATGAACTGAAACAATACCAGCTGCATTTCCTTGAAATCAGAAATCAATTCTAAAATAGCTGGGAAACATTTCTAAAGAAGTGCTTGAGTAAGTGTTTACAATCTGAAAATGCGATAAGGTAGGATAGAATAAATTCAGCAATAAAATAATATTCTCACCTGCACAAAGTATACATAAAACTATGCTTTTCTGTGAAAAATAAAATACTCCATGGCCACTATACATTATATATTGAATCATTTCAAACACGCTTTTTTTAGTTGTTGTTCTGACAGTTGTCTAAAGCTAATTGATTTGTCTGCTGATAACTGTGAAAACTACTGCATGAAATACTAAAGTATAGCAACTTTTAAAATATTTATTTGACTGTGTATAAAGTGTTTTACATTTAAGGTGTGTGCATGTGTGTGTGTTATGTGCCCACATACATGTCTTATGACTACATGGGTTTTGGTGCCCATATACTAAGTGCCATATAAAGTTCCTCCTGAATCAACTCCTGTTTCTGTTACTATATGTGTAGCCATGTATGGGCCTTAGATAGTAACACATCCAGTTTACATTTTGTTTTCTGAACACCTTTTTTGTGTCCTTTAGGTGTAAGCTCTGTTTTAGCAATATGTAGAAGAGTCATAAGGGAGTAATGTTTTTTTTAACCAGGTTTGAATTCTATCCACCCCACTTATTTTTGTCTGAATGGCCCTGTGGAAGTCACTTAACTTCACCAATCCTCTGTTACCTTACTGGGAAACTGAGTCTCCTGGTAGCAATCCCACAGGAGAACCAAATGACAAATATACATGAATAATAAAGCACCACCAAGTGTTAGCTAATATTTTTAATCTTTATGCTTGAAAGAACACATGGCTCATATGCTCCTGGATTCAAAGGGGAGAAGAAGGTTTAATGCATGTTTATGGACTGCTGACAGGATTTCAGGCCTTGCATAAAGCACCATGTGCATATATATTGATAGATGGATAAATCAGTCAGGGACAAATATTGAGATCCAGGACAAGCAATATTTGCTTGCTTTTCAAAGTGTAGTAAATCTAAATTAGAGTCTCAAATTGCAGTCAGCATATCTAGGTATCTGCAGCATATCTCTCCTGTTATTGAAGGAGACAGCTGCCTAGTCAATGTAAACTTTGTTGTAAAATTGTTTAATGGAATTCACAATTATGGGAGGACAAACACACTTGAGACATTAACAGAGGGTATGACTTTGATATGTATAGACAAAGAGAGCTGTCAGACTTAGCATCAGTTAGTGTTTCACAGAGGAAGGTAGTCAATAAAAGAAAGTGACTACTAATGAGAGAGAACTCCCACTGATTCATTGTCACCACCCCTCTTAACCTAGAGTAAACGATAAGAGTGAAATAAACATCTAAATTTTTGGCATAGTCAATAAATATCATACATACATATGAAATCCCATTGTACTCAAGATTTCAGCACCATTTAATACCCAGGATCCTTCATATGTTGAAACTCTCTATACCCCAAATTATTGTGATACTATAGTATCCTTGTTTTCCTCCTAACACTCTGTCCAGTCCTTCTTTGTCTCCTCAATGTCTGTTTGGTAACTCCATAATTCACTGTATACTCTTAGGCTCAGTCGTTGGCCATTTATTAGAGCCAATTAATAGCTTTAAGCTACTGTTATGGTTGCAAATATAACCTCTGCACACTAATTTCTAAAAAGTTAAATTAAGTTCCAACTTCTTCATTGAACGTCAGTTTTAAATTTCTAAATGATTAAGAAACATTTCCACCTGAAAATATGGATGTTAATAGCAAATTTACATGTCTGGAGCTAACGGATTACTCCTCCAAATTGAATCCTTCACCCAGTTCTTTTTGTCTGTCTGTTTAATCACTCTGGATTCTATACTAAACAGTGTAGTCCAAGAAATCCTCTTGAACACATTATTTATTGAGTCTCTAATCACTGTCTTGCTAAAAATATCTCTATGGCTTCCCATTTACTACTGGAAAAATTCTATTAGCTATCAGTGTGTTTAAAAAGTGAGAGCTTCTGTGTTCTATTAATCTACCACACCATCTATTGTGAATTGTACACTGTAAACTATAATAATTTCTTATTGATTTGAATTAAACTCCTTGAAGTTCTATTCTCAGTTCTTATTCTGGTCCATTTCTAACATCCACATTTACCTATAGGGACTCTTCATGATTTGTTTCATGTTATCATTCTATTTACTTTCACTGAAACATGCTCATCTCCTTCTTCCTTCCCATTTTTGGACATGATTTTTCTTCTTTATCATGTTCAGTTCTTACCACTCTTCAAAGTTCAGCCCAACTTCAAACCCTTCTCTTAATATCTTTCCATAAATCTTGTAGCTTACATTGAGCTCTATTCCCAGTAAACTAATATTTGTAATTTTGTGTTCTTTGATATTCTTTGCTATGTAAGTATCATTTTCCAAATTATTCCTATTTATTAAATTGACTCTGACTTTTTACTCTTTCTTCTTCCTTAATTATGGCTATATTGTTATCTTACTTTAAAATTGTTTATATAATTTTCCTGGTATATTCATTTTGTGTGTCTAGCTACACTATAAAGTGTTTAGGGGAAATATTATTTCATATTTTATTGTATTATTTACATATTCTAGCACTACGCTGTGAGAAATTGGAGGCTCAAAAATATTTGTTAAAGGAATGATTGACTACGGGGACCAAGAAAATACACTGAAAGTGGTACTTACTGCAATTAATAGTTTCAAAATAAATAATTCAAAAAAATCTGAGTTTTTAATATGACATTTTTAGGTTTTGGGGACACCATTTTCCTTTAAAATCTGATCTGTAATTTAATTAGTCCATTAGATAAGAAGGGAATAAAGGTATATATATATATATGTAATATGTATATATATATATTTATGCACCATTAATGATTAACTCTATAAGTCATTAAATGTTACAACAGCTAATGAAGGAAGTTGGTGAATCCATGGAGAATTGTAAAATAAGAGAGAGATCTATTTGGAACTATATTAGCAGAATTTTCCAAAGTCTGGTAGAATCAGTGGGATAGTTCCTTCCAAAGTATGACTTTACAAAACAAGAAAACAGTTATTTGGATAGGAGATGAAGAGACCAAGCTCTTAACCACCTTGCTTTTCATACCTGTTTTACTTTTATCACTTATACATAATCAGCTTAGCAAAAGACAAAAAATTTGTTTTGCAAAACACATTCTGTCATTTTCCTGGCATTCAGAGCTTGAATGTTTCCCTAGAACTTAAGGTCCACATCGTAAATTTTTCCACTCAGGCTCCTTAATTTATACCTTTCACTTATGTTATCCCTGGTTTCATTTTTTTAAAAAATAAAACATTTATATTTATGTGATTCTAGTTGGATTTCTATTCTCCTAAGTAACACAAAGTTACTTATATTTATAATGAAGCTCACTAAAAAGATTTATTTTGTGGGAAATAAGATGATATAGCAAAGAATGAAAATGTCAACATAAAGAAAACTATTTTGCTGTTAATAAGATATGTTATATTTATAGAAAGAAAGAGCCCTTCACAGTTACATTTAACATATGTGAATTATACTTATTGTATAGGTTTTACGTATAATTTTGTACACAGGTCTATTTAGTTGCAGTTGGTGTATGTGTGTGTATGAAAAAAAGTATAATTTAACTTCCAACATGACTAAAAGGGAAAAGTAGATAACTATTTAATAATGAAGACCTAAGAATTCTTACTTGTCACATTGTTGACCTAACATGTGCTTACCACAATTGATAGAGTGTGAAAATAAAGGGTAATATTGTAAAACTTTTCAGTAAACTGTCCGGGCTTCCAGGTATGGCTCTTAATAGCTTTGCCATTTTTCAAGACAGTCACTGTATAAGAAGAACCTTGGTATGATAGCTATCAAATGGAAATAATAATAAAGACTATTTTGTGAGGATTTATGAAGTAAATGTAATAAATAATGCAAGTAAAAGTGCTAAAAATCTGTAAATATATAAAATTAGTATTTCAATGATTAAGTTTAAGACCAGATCCAGAGTCTTTTCCATGGCCATTAAAACGCCCTGTGATCAGGACTGCAACCATCCACCTGACTACATCTCCATCACTCTCCTTGCAGCTCACACTGCACTAACTTCGGCTCACTCATGTTCCTCAAACTCTCCTAGCCCCTGCTACCTCAGGTTTTTTGTGTGTGCTATTATATACGTAATATATATCTTTACTATATAACTTTGGAAATGGTGCCTACTTCATCATCACTACATATTCAATTTACATCATTTTATTATTTTTCTAGTACTCACTACTAACATTGTAAACCTTTTATTTTCTTTCTCATTCTCAACAACTAAGCTCTAAAATAATAAAAATTTGCCTGTTTTTCTTGCTATGTCACTTTGACAATGAGAACAGTATCTGGTATATAATAGATGATTAATAAAGCAAGTAATGTTTAAATGAATGAATGAATGATCTCTCATGGAGTCTTTACTCATTATGAAGCAATTGGCAAAGTGCTTTTTATGGATTATCTAATTTAATCATTACAATAGGTCATTTCTATTATTATTTTATAAATGAAGAAAACAGATGTCTTGTGGCACAGTAACTTGCTTGAGGTAAACATAGTAAGTGATGGAAACTGAACTGACTCCAAAACCTAGGCTCCTAGTTACTGTTATAAAGCCTCTGCATATCCAGCCATTTTTATGTTAATTAATGTTTGATTACACTGTTCTAAAATAGACTGAACTGACTATCAAAAGAATATTTTTAGCTTAATTTGATCCTCAAAATAAACGAGCAGATTCAGTAGTAACAAATAAACCAACTTCCAGAATGCCAGCATTTGAAAACAGATGTGAACAAGAATACAAAGAGGCAGGTTGACATTTACAGATGACTGAGGTGTGACTTACCTCCAGGTGGCCCGCCATGGTAGCTATATGCAGGGCGGTGAGACCGCCATACCCGACCTGCTGTATATCAGCTCCGCTGTGAAGCAGGGAAGTGATCAGTTCTGCACTATCCTGTAAGGAAACACATCTTTAGTGCTACCCTTCTACTAATAGTAGGTTTGAATCCTGTACAACAGGATGTATTGATTTTTGTCAGCCAGTATAGCCGCCCAAAGAAAACTTAAGTGTGATCTCTGGCATAAGAGTACATGAGATAGTATAGAGCAGCTCTCAGATGGTTGAAACACAGGAACACATGAGAAAGCCAGTTTCAATCAATCCTTCACCACTTGACCATGAAAGACAGAAGGGACATTTACCTATAGTGAGGCTCTTACAAATTAAACTCAATCTTACAAGTAGATCACTCCAATAAGTGTCCTTGTTTCAGTAACTGCAGTATTGAACTGGCTGCAGTGGACAGTTTCATGGTAGTTCAGTAATTGCTTCTTCTCTGATACATACATGTATGCTTTTTCTCATACTATGCCTTCTCTTGCCTTGTATTATCAAGAGAAATCACTGCCCTGACTGGGAGCTGAGTTGGTTGGAGCATCACCCCATACATCAAAAGATTGCAGGTTCCCTTCCCAGTCAGAGCACAAACCTAGGTTGCTGGTTTGTCCTGTCAGGGCAAGGGAGGCAGCCAATTGATGTTTCTCTCTCACATCCATGTTTCTCTTTCTCTCTTTCCCCCCAACCCCACCCCACTGCAACCTTCCCCTCTTGCTGAAATTAATAGTAATGTTTTTAAATCTCCTCAGTGAGTAGTTAGTTAAAAAAAAAGAGAGAGACAAACCACCAATCATGTTTCTTCCAGTTGGAACATTAGGACCTCGCCATTGCCCTGAATTCACCTCCTCAGTTTCTAGAGGCAACTTTCTATTTATCAAATCAAATGTGATCATCCCCCTCATCTCTGTAGTCAGATCATCTTTTTGAAATCCCTCTTTATTTTGGTTTCATAAAGCCATATATTCCTGATTTCCTTCTCTTTACCTCTTCTTTGTCTCTGTCTTCAAAGTTAGTGATTTAGGAGTTTTGCTGTCTCTCATTCTAAATGCCACCTCTGGTAATTCTTACATAATCTGATAGCTTCATCTTTAGTGCTGACTTCTTTGCCAAGCACAGATCTCATCTGTTGTGCCTACCAATGCCATCTCAAATTAGAAATTCGAAGTTGCTTTTGAAAAGACCATTCATAATTTTCCCAGGGTGATGTCATCTAGCATCCCTAGTTACATTAATGGCACTTTCTTATACCAAATTACCTTGAATCCCTTCAACTCAATCAGCTTTAGTTATTGCTGGTCTTGACTTCAGAATACTTCTCACATTTTTTCTCTTTATTTCTATCCTCCTCCTCCATTTTACATATCCTCCTAAACTAACCCTTTTCTCGTTGTAGTCCAGCCTCCACACTGCTACCAGATAAGGTTTCATACACACAGTTTGGATTATATCAGTCTCTCTTTCAATAAACTTTTTATGCATACAACAAATATTTATGGAGACTGTATGCTTTGTTTGGAGCCATGGAAACACAGCAATGAGTATAACAGTTAAATCTCTGCTTTTGTGGAGCTTATGTTTTTCCTGTGTATGTGAGAAAAGAGAGAGAGAAGATAAACAAATAAGAAAATGTTAGATAACATATCATAAAGTACCAATAGCTCTGAGATAAAACAGACAAATGACAAAGTAGGCTACTTTAATTTGTGAAGTCAAGGAAAGCTTCACTGTGGCAAGAGATCATTTAGATAAATATATAGTAAATACCAAAGAGAAAAAAAAATCCAAACCACATTGTCAGGGATGGGTATTTGAGGTGAGGGAGTAGTTAGTGTAAAACTCCTAAGATGGAAATAAGCTTAGTGTGGTTGAAGGCCAGTGTTGAGTAGAAATGAGGTTTTTAAAAAAGAGAAAAGTGGCTCTAGTAAAGAGAAAAGATCAAAGAACTATGTTGTTTTCAAAATATATTAAATGCACTCAAGTCTTTCTATAAAGTGCAATATTCATTACAGTCACTTGCCCAAAATGTGTACAGTTTTATTCAGTGAATAAAAATGATAAAATAAACACTGATTAACATCCAAAAAGGGGGGAAATTAATGTTCAAGGTGAGTTCAAAGACATCTGATCTTGTAGGGTCTCACAGGGCATGGTATTCGGTGTTTGAATTTTTTCCCAGTGAAATAGCAGGGGAATGGCAGTATATAAGTTAGAGAAGACTCACAAATAGTAGTTTTGGGGGTAGAAATAAATGATTTGTCTTTCACAAGTTTGAGATACTTAAAATGCACAGTTAAGACTGTGCATACTAAAATTAGCTTCCCTAGTTAGAATTCCAACTCAACTAATGGCTATGTGAACAGGGGTAGGTTATATAACCCTTTACACTAATTTCCTTGGTTATGAAAGGGCGACAATAACTATATCCACCTGGTATAATACACATATAAACTATGTATCTATAATTGATGTGATAATACATATAAAACACACTAAAGATATCTGCCAAATAATAATAAAATTCATTACCATTGGACATTGAAGTCTGGGACTCAATATAGCACTCAGTGGAAACTTCCAAATAAGACAGCGATTTGACTTCACCATCTTAGCTCCTCCTCCTCCTTTCTTGTCTCCTCCCCAGAACTTCACTTCCTCTACCTCACTAGTTACCCACTGAGATAACTGAAGATATAAAACATAGGAAAACTCTGAACTCATACTAGAAGTTAGAAAATGCCTACTAGTTTTCCCTCCTCTGGAAAAAAATTCATGGGAGTTAACTTTAACCTCATAATAACCTTTAATTTTGAATGATGAGGGTTAAAGATAAGAGTGTTCTCTAAGATAAATGGGAAATATATTATCTTAAAATATTTTCCCCTGCAGATGGGCAGGCATTTAAATGCAGGGAAGCAGAGAAAGTCTTTTTAAGCATAGAGGCTTCTTTTTTTTAAATAGAGAGGAAATATGATAAGTCTGAGAAAATGAAAGTATTGAAACCAATATAAGATAAATGACAAATTGGAGAAATATAACACATAAAACAGACAAATGGTTGGTATATTTAATATATGAAGAACTCTTACAAATCAGAAGAAAGATGGATTCTCTTTAGTTCAACAAATATTTATTAATGAATGTCTACCTTATGGCAAGCACTGTACTAAACTAAATTAAAATAAATGATATGTAAATCATGGAGCATAACATATTTATCTATCAGGCAGATGATAGTAAACACACATTCATCCTTTCTTGCTTTGCATTTTCTCATTTTTTAGCCAAAATTCATGGCATTTAAAAGAATGCATTTATGTTATGATTCCTTTAGAATAGTCAAATGATAAGGTCAAAAGTTAAAAGTGCTAAATTACCCTTTAATACCTTGGTTGGATTTTTCAAGTCAACCTCTGACTGATCTAAGTACTTTTTCACTAAGTACTACAAAAATAGAACTTTTATCCTTCCAAGCTATGCTAAAAAAGAATGTAACAAAATGATCATCGCTACTTATTTGTTGCTTATTAGGTACCATTTAAATATTTTCTGTATACCATATCTTTCAAGTTTCACAATTTACTTATAAGGTCAGTAGAATAGCTGACTCCCAAACAACATGGCTTGAACTGCACAAGTCCACTTAATGTGGATTTTTCTCAATAAATTTTTCTCAATAAACAGTCAGTCCTTCAGATCCAAGGAGTTTTGCATCCTCAGTTTTAGCCAATGGTGGCTAAACAGTATTTTTGCATTTATAACTGTGGTTTCACAACATGGAATCCCAACCAAAAACACTGTTTTCAATCCACAGTTGCTTGAATCTGTGAATGTGAAGGGTCTACTTTAGTTAAGTTTTTGAATACTCAAAGGCATACATGAATTTTTCCACTGCCAACGTTATGTTAATCAAGGGTCAATTGTATTAAGTCTATTTTACAGCTGATGAAAGTCAGAATCAAAGAATTTAAATTAGTTGTAGAACCCTACATATTTTGTAAGGGCTGGTACTAGGTACAAATTCAGGTTTGCTTGACTCCAAAGTCCATTCTTCATTTTTGACTTCTCATAGTGTTTTAGCTGATCTTTCCACATAAATCTCATACACTCTTAAATCCCTCTAAGAGTCTGCTTTTCAAGCTGGCATACCATCATAAAATGCTTCTTTCATGTACATTTAAATGGAAACTTAACTGGATTTGAACTTAGATCTTCTGACATTGAATCCTATACTTTTCTCAGTACATGTTACCTTCAACCTACAATGACCGTCTATTTCAAATTTTTTGCCTTTCCTGTGCAAGCCCTGACTCTTTGCTTTTCACTTGTAAAAATAGGATTGAATATTTGCTATATAAGGCTGTAATAAGGATAAAAATTACGTTATTTATGTGCAAATATTTGTACACCTCAAGATTGTTACAATCACCCAAAGACAGACCTAACAATATTGAAATATTCATCATATGTCTCAGTTTGTTCTGTGTCTAAAGATGTTTAATCATGAAATAACTCAATTTCTTCACCTGTAAGATCTCAGAGTTGGGCTAAATTGTTTTCTGTAATATCTTGACCACCTCTAATATTTTGATATTCCCTGAAGTGTCCCATCAAGCTCCAAGGCAGAGCTGAAGTTGATTTGGAAAGAAGACTGAGTTTCTGCCTGTGAAAACAGAGCTATAGAAAGAATTATTTTAATAATGTATTTATCTAAGTGGTTTTCTTTATTGACCCAATTTACCTAGCACAGTAATTGTCACAGCCTCTTTGTGTTTGTCAGGAAAAAAGTAATAAAAGCAGTTTTGTAGTCTAGAGAATATGAGGGTTTATTCTAGGCCAAGGCAGTATGCAGAGCTTCAGTATGAGATGTACTTAGTTCCAGGCATTAAAATTTAATGGACTAGAGCTGCCTCATGCGTCATAGACATCTCCAGTGAAAGGATCCATTAGTCAGTATAAAAGTAACTGCTTATGAAGGTCCATACCTACATATGCCTCTGGTTGTAATAATTCTGAAGTTATATTCACAAAAATATCAATTCTTAAGGATTTTAGTGTGATGGAAATACATGACTTTGCTAAAATTTGGGGGAAAAAAGAACACACTTTTAAATTGAGTACTTGTACTCTTTCCTGGGTAAAGTATCTAAATTTGCTATATTTTTTATTCTGAAATGCTTTATTTTTAACTGTATTTTTTCATTACCACTTATTTCATTTACTCTCACCTTCCCTCACAATCACCACTTTGTTGTCCATGTCCATGAGTTCCTGTGACCTATTTTTCCTCATTACCACTGCTGACTCCTCCTTTTCTATATTCTAACTTCCCCTAATCTCTTTCTTCCTGTGGGCTTCTTCCAAGTGACCTTTGAATATATTTTTCCTCTCATTCAATATTATAGTAATAATTTAATAGGGAGGGGCTAATCAGAATTTCTGGGAATTTTGGAGAATGAAAACACATGCCATGTGAAAAGCAAATTGAATATTATAGTTTCTTCAATTTGTTTTCACTTGTAGTTTATTTATTTTAGAATAAAATAATTAAACAGGCTAAATTTTTATATTTATGCAAAAGGACAAGAATAAAAAGATTAAAAAACACTGCTGTAAAATTTTTTCTGTGATCCTGCCACACCTCAAGACAATGACCAATTTTTTGCCTTTTGAAAGAACAATCAATATTCATAGCCTCCAATTTCTGAACTCTATTTATCTTTAATCAATTTTTATACTTTCTATTCCCCAAAATTTACTAAAGTATCCCTCCAGAGATATCTGGCAATTTCCAATTCCAATGGTCAATACAAAAATATTTTGCCCAGCATCAGTATGATTCTTCTTCCTTTCTGTTGGGGTAAGCATTCTGTAACTTGCCATAGTCTCCACCTCTTCTTGTGTCTCAAAAACATTGAGTCTAAGTGTTAGTTCCCATTTAATGCTACCATATTATCTAATACATTCATTCATTTATTTTACCTGCCTCTTTCCTCAAGGCATGTAAGATAGACCCCTCCAATCTGGAGAAAGATGTAGAGAAGTAACCAGGTAATAAAATCTAGACCCATTCACAGTGTTATAAGGTAAGCACAGGTGTTAGGAGAATACAATGGAGGACCACCCAATCCAGACTGGGGTCAGGGAAGGTTCTCCAGGAAATTAGTGCTGTCTTCTATAAGAATTGAAGGATAAATTAACATCTTCAGTTAGCATCCTGTTAAGAGTTTATTAAAAACATGTTAATTAGAAAGATTATAAAATATTTGGTCACTAAAAATAAATGTGAGTATAAAAAAATCTTAACGATTATCCTAATTTGGGATTATAAATGTTTTCTAGTTCCTTGAAATGAGGATTAAGTAGGAAATAGTATTTAAAAGTTGCTATCAACTGGAAGAATGACATTAGTTATTTTGTGAATCTTAAGAACAAAATAAAGTTTAATTGTAATTTTTATGATAATCCAAAGGCATATATAAAAATAACTGTTTTATATGTATAAAAATAATATCAAGAAAGGCAAGAAAAATTAAGCTAATTTCTTTAGATTAAAAGAGATTATAGAGAGAACAGTAAAAACGGATGATTCTGGATTGATCTTAAACTAGAAAACAGTAAAAACCTACATATGACACTACTGAGACAACTGGCCAAATCTAAATTTCAACTATAGATTAGATAATAGTATTTTATCGGTGTTAAATTTTCTGATTTTGATCATTGTATTGTGATTATGTTGGTAAAATTCCTTTTTCTCAGGAGATAAAGATTGAAGTTTTTAGCAACAATGAGGCAATCTTGCATGTAATTTAACTTCAAAGGGTTCAGAAAAAATAGTATAATAATGGAGATGAGAGAACCTGAATAAGGTGTATATAGGAGTTTCTTATACTGTTCTGGCAAGTTTTAAAATAACATTAAATGGAACCCAAAATAACATTAAATGGAACTCTAAATGAATTATATACCTGTTGTAGCACATCAGGGAAGAAATAATTAGAACTAGATTTAATACAATGGTGGTATGAATGGCCATTTTATATTGTTTCTGCATTTAAAGTGGGATGACAATTTAAATTTGTTTTTACCTTTGTTAAGGAATAAGTAGAGCGTGCATCCTATTATAGCCTTTCAGGAATTATTGACTATCGTTTATCCTAAGATTCTAAATGTGTTTAAACTTGCTACAAAAACCTTTTAGTTCATACATCTTTCTGTAAAGTATAAGAAAACAGAAGAAACAGAGGAAACGCAACTCTAAAAACTGAAATTTAGAGTCGATAAACAGAGGTGGGAGAAATATACTTCCTCTCATAGAGTCTGTGGCCCTAACTCATTCAGAACCTACTTGTGTGGTTGTGCCACACAGATCTCCCAGACAGTCAGATTCAGAATTCATGGGTTCACATTCTGCCCCAACTATCCATCACCAGCTTCCTATTCATCAGCGCTCTTCTCCTTTCACGTTCTGCCATTCAGCAGAAAACCAGCGTCAGACAGACATTCTTTTCTACACCCAGACTCAGGCTCTGTTCCCATTTTGCAGAACGATTAGGAGGTATTAAAGACCGTGTAACACTGAACTGATGCTTCCTCTCAGAAGGAATCAGAAAAGTCAACTAGGCATTGATAGGGTGTGAAAAAAGGACAAGCATTGGAGTATTTGCACTCTGACTCAGGAACATGTGAGTCTGAATCATGGGAAAGTATTGCTCTCTTCCCCCAGAGGGATGAAGTCCCTAAAGATTGGGAAAGGGATATAGTGCAAAGTGATCTTGACATGAGCAAATAGCTTCCTCCCCCATTCCTGCACATACAAAATTGAAATAATATTGTACCACAGATGCACATGAAATGGAGAACAAAATAATGCAATATAACAAGGAAAGTCAGAAAGTATGAGCCAACTGTACTTAATTTTAATCATTATTATAACAGATACCTAACTTTAGTTTCCCTTTCTTTAAAATAAAACCTAATATGCAACTCACTAGATTATTTAATGGTTAAAGAAGTAATGAATATGAAACCTAGTGTGATATTTAGCTCATAATAAAAACAGAGCCAGTAGAACTTTATAATTAGAGAATAAATGGGTTACACATATTTAATTTATATATTATGTAAGTTTATATTTAGGACAATCTGGAAGATCTATCTCAATTCAAAGTACCTCAGTTTTTCTAATCTACTTTTCTATTTATTTTCTGATCAAATACTGAGATTAGGTTGAAGCCTGGTACTGATGTAAAAAAATAAACAATTGAAGCAAAAGAAGAGAAATAGAAGAAGGAAAGTAGAGGGAACTCTAGAGAAATTTTTTATTAAGGAAAATATGCAGCAAAAGAATGCAGCTTCAATGTGCTTCTTTCGTGATTTTCTCACAAGGAACCTCATTTTCTGCACAGAGACAGCTTGGTCTCCTGGTAAGAAGCTCTGGTGAGGAAACCAGACTGACAGGTCGGTGAGCCTAACCCTGCAGCCTTGAAGGTAATAGTGTTCACTCACAGGGTTCTTGTGAGAATTAAATGAATTAAACATAGAAAGCATTTAAAAGAGTATGTGTCTGCTCAATAGAGAGAAGAAAGCCTATGAGTATTGTAATATTCTGGTTACTACGAATGTATTTCTACAATTAGTAATTTGCCCTGATCCCCCCAAAATTCAAAACAAACTAGCCAAAAGATACATACATCCTTGGTTCTAATATAATATTTATTGGAACATAAATGTACCTTGTAAACTGCCAAGTGCAAGGCTGTAAATCCATTTCTTGTCAGTCGAGATGGACGGAGCCCTTTTAACATAAGGGTTCTAATATGAGACTTATTGCCTTAAAAAATTAAAAAAAATAGGTTAAATTGTTGAGAGGGTAGTCTAAGTGACTTTAAAATCTCTCTGACTTAATAAATGTCACAGTGAGGTATAAAATCCCAGATTGCTGTTCTGACCTCCATTTTTAAAGTTTTCTATAAATTGACAGGCTTACCAAGTAGTAAACATTTCTATTATAATTATAAGATTTTGTATCAATGTTGTACATTTTAATGAATTTGTGTTACATTTTTTTAATTCAGTGTTCTCATCATCAGATGGTTTTAAAACAAAAACATGAAAAAATTAATCTAAACAGACAATTAGGGAAAAGGACTAGATAAAATTCTAGTTGTATAGGATTCCCTGGAACATCCTTAGCAGTAGAGCTGATTTAGATCAGAGCAATCTGGAGAAAATGACCAAGGTTGGAAAGGCAGTTTAAATTTGGCAGGAAGATCTTTTAAGTACAGTCTGATGAATTTGTTTGACAGGAATGGTTAAGAGATTGACTAATGACAGTCAATACTTATATATCAGTGTTCTATTTAAAAAGCTGAGTTCAATGAATACTAGCTTGAATTAACAAAAATAAATATTAACTATTAACTCATTAATTAAATATGTTTATTGGGTACCTAACTATATGCCAGGCACCATCCTATGTGCTTGGGATACATTAGTGAACAAAACAGAACAAAACAAGCCGATTTAAACTCTCCATCTTCCCTTTGATCAATCTTTTCTTCGGGATTGTATCCTTGGCATGTACATGACCTTCCTATCTTCCTGCCGTCTGTGAAGCAATTGCTTGATGATATTTTGGGAAATGCTTTAAGTACTTCTGAATTGAACAGAATCCCTCACTAATGTGCCCTATTCTGCAAAATGCTTTCTGGATTTCCCAGCCAGCCAAGTGGCTTGGTTCAGGGTAGAAGCACAGTGAAACTTCAACTCAGAGCAAAATCAATAGAAATATCTGCCTGGTAGTTACTGCTTCAACCAAAGCTTATCAGAGTTGCAGGGGCAAAACAAAAGAGAAAATTGAGTATCAATAGAATTCCTTTGTAGACTGTTAAGCAGCTCAAATCACTGACACTATATATATGTATGTATATATTTGTGTATTTATAGGGATATATACATAGGGATATATACACGTATGTGTGTATTTATATGTACATACACACGTATAAAATGGAAACTAGTTTATAACATATTGAGTTTCAAGTGCTCACCTCCACAAATGCAACATAAATGAAGCAGAGACAGTCCATTTTCTGTGCGGTAATTTAAATTGACTTTACTGAAGGCATCATCAGAGCTGAAAAAAAAAGTATAGATGATAACAAATTTCATCTTTTAGTTTATTATTTTTCACCTGAAAAATTATGAAAGGGAATCATGTTATTATAAATTCAGAACTGCATGTTTACTATGTTTGTTGTATACCTGGAAAATGTATGATGAATATCTTTCCACATGAAGAATAATTAAAATCAAGAGAAAATAATACTGAAACTTTGAGAGACCACATTTAAATTAGAGACTCTCATGCACAGTTCTCTGTTCTATATAAAATTTGAATGGATCAGGGCACCTAGATGAATAAAAATTTTTATATATATAGAAAGCATAGATATTTGAAAGTAAATGTATTTCTTTCACACTCAAAATTTCACACCATAGTTACAGAAAATTCAACAAATTTACTCCAAAAAAAAAAAAAAAGAAAAGAAAAATGCAGCAGAGATTTGCCAAAGAAATAGAGTCCCAATGTATTACAAATTTTGCCTGAAGCAAAGGTGCCTTGTGCTCTGCCTGGGTCAGGTTTCACAGAAAAAGAAGGCCTCAACTCTGATAGTGTAGTGCGTTGGACTCTCTGGTGACAGGAGTAGTGTTAGTGGTTTAATTAATGGAACCCTCGCCTTCCTTTGAACAAAGACCACTGCTGTGGAAGGGCCCTGGAGAGCCATGGGTAGCCTTTGAAACAGAATGTAAAGCTAAAATTATTGACCTCTTGAGGTCATTGGTACTCCCAGGAAATTTTTCAGTAGAAATGAGATCACATCCTTGGCCTCCCAGGTCAATTTCAAGCTGCCTCCTGCCTATTTAAATCTCTGGAAGCTTTAGTGAGATGGCATAGTCTTTGGTAACTGAGACTTCCATATCATTTGCTAGATACTTATACTTAACAGGTACTATAAATTCAGAATATTGTCATCAATACATCCAGCTAAGGTATTCAAAAGCTATTGCAAGTTTGAAATAGAAAAACAAAGGGTGTTATTCTCCAGGGCACTACTAAAAAGAGAGAGTCTCTAAATCTTGGGACATTGAAGGATCTCAGTGAAATGCTTTAATTAGCAATGGTAAGGCCAGTGGTTGTTTTAATAAATTTGCAGATATTCCAGAACTTCCCCACCCTCCTAACTTTTTTGCTTCCTGTGTTTAACTTCCCAGCAGCAATCCACAGACATACTTTGGACAAATCTACTGCATATTGACTAACACCTTAACTCATCTTAGAATGCCATTTGTAGAAGTAAAATTAACTCTGAGTCCCTTTTACAAATGTTGTAATATACTATAGCAAGGAGCCCAGAATTTCATGGAAAAAAGTTAATGATTGAGTTCATTTCTGTCTGCACTATCCCCCAGCTCGGTGCAAAAGTAAATTACTCTTGATGAAGATACCACTATTTTAAATGTCTACCTAAAACGAGGCTAACTAAAAATAAATTTTATGGGTGCGGTAACTTTACAAAATAATATGATTCTTGAAAATGTGTGGCCTTTTCTGAGCCTGAGCTTTAACCTCTCAAAACCAATCCTATTATAGATGTCTTGGAGAAATGACTCAAAATAGGTAGTACTAAACAAAGAGCACCCAATGGCCCACACTTGGAAAAGCAGTCACAAAGCTCTTCTAAACGGTTATGATTTCAAACAGCCCAGATTTTCTGAAAAGGTGAACCTGGCTTTTAAAGCTGGGTGGATTGAATTTTTCTCTTAAAGTGTGTAGGACATCAGAGTTCTTAAATAAAAAAAGTAAAATAACAACAACAACAAAAACCTGTGAATAGCAACTGATGATGTTGATTGGCAAGGATTCAGACACTCTAACCTGCTTTGGCTTTTTCTTCCTGGGCCTTCCCATTATCCGGCAAGTGAAATGCACAATGAGATCACAAGACAGAAAACAAAGTGTTGGTGTGGAGAAAGACAGGGAAGTCCTCTGTTAAATAAAGAACTATATAAACTTCAGCCTAAGAGAAAAACAGGGAAGGAGAGTCTTTTAACTAACGATAATGAATTTAAGACTGAAAAAAGAAAAAGTTTGGGAGCCCCTCTGTAGCAGTGAATCCTTGATAAAATGCATTTGTTAATGTGTGTTTCTACTATTATATAGCAATACCTGTCCTGTTTTAATGTTTTAAAAGTAGAAAAAGTTATTTCAGCAGTGTAGATAATTCTTCAAAGCTTGGTCCTTATATTTACACCAGAATTAAAATCCTATCCTGTTCTGCCTTTTAAGCTTTTTTTTCTTTCTGCAATTTGAGTAACTTATTTAACCCTTCAAGCCTTGATTTCTTCATTTATAAAATTATTGAAATAATATACATGCCATTGTGTTGTTGTGAAGAACAAATGAGGTTAAGTACTTGCTGCAGAAGCTGGCAAATGATTGTTGTTCATAACTAGTTACTTTGTCATTATTACTATTACCATGATCAAGTTCACTGGGATTCAAAAATTTTAGCACAGTTTTCAAACCCAGTTTGACTTTCTTCGACCTCTCACATTTGATGACCTACTACATTTCTTTGTTTTTACAACCAATTCTGTAGACATAAGTATTTTACGCTCACAGTAACTGCCGGTCAGACTTCTAGAAAATATCTGACCTTGCCTTCACTTTTTGCAAATGGCCAAGTTCAGCTCACGGTCTCACATGTTTTAAGAGCAGATGTTCCCTGGGTGCCAGCATGGCACCTGCATGACAACCGATTTCTCTGACTGCTGGAAGATTCTGGAGTCATTTATGTTAGTTTTGCACATATTTTCTTGGGAGTGTCATTTGCATTTATCTTGCACTGCAGAACAAAACCAAAGGTTAGTAGAGAGGACATCAGACTAGTGTAACTGTCTCATAGTTTTAGGTAGAGAGGGGGTGGGAGAAAGATGGAATGAACACTAGAAGGGGCACAGATCCTCCGGTGTCCTCCGGCTCTGAGGGGATGGCTGGTCACAGTTGTGTATGTCTAGTGTGGGCCAGCGGCTCTGCCCTGTGCTGAAGCGGGGCTGCTGTGGCCTGAGGGCTGAGTGTCAAATGTCCTGTGAACCCTGTTATGTGTTCTTCCCAGGTGTGCTTCATTCCTCACTGTCTGTTTGATATTCTATGGTATTTATTTTAAGAAAACAATAAACAGTAATAAAGTAATTGACTTGATTTTTATTACGAAAAATAAAAAATAAAATAAATGGCCAAGTTCACTGTTGTGACACCTAGCACTTATCAGTGATCAGAGCAACTACTAGAATCACAGTATTTTAGTACAAGTCCAGCCATATCATGCAATAGGGAAACCATTTTCAACACTGGGGATAGTCAAAGAACAGTAAATGTGAATGGGGAAAAAAGGTTGTGCTGAAAATCATTTTATTGACAAGATAGACTCAACACATTATCTAACGTTGCTAATGTAATCTGTCAGTTTGGTCAGTCCCTACTGAAAATCAATTGTGTGCTTCACTTAGGTTCTTAATACTCTCTTCAGATTGTTTTCAATAGTCTACTTGATATTCTACTTGATATAAATGACTCACTAATTCTTGCATCTTTTTAGTGCATCGATGTTTAAAATATATATGGTAGCTGGACCACTGCAACTGACTTTAGCATTAGTACTGGTCCTCTGGCGCCCTGATCAGCTTTGCAATGAAGGTAAACACTAAATAAACAGAAAGCATAAGATGCTAACGTCCATTGCTTTATTTCATTTTTCTTAAAAAAGATAATCCCAGGTGAATATTATTTACATTAAAAAATTGAAAGCATGAATTATATTCATGAGTTTTTGTTTAACAGTTGTTCCTTAGTTCACTGAATCTAAAACTAGACTTGACCGTTCTTAAGTGACTCAGTATAATACAGCCCTAAAGAGCTCCTTGCTCAAAAGTGAGCTGTTGCCAGTTGCTTTTGTTCTCTTCTTGAGTTCTGTGCTCCTTGAATTCATGCAACTTCTATTAATGCCAACAAAATGAACCAACAGAGAATAAACTTCCATAATATCTGGCAGTCGAATGCAATTTTTATAGTACAATTTTTATCTTAACTTTAATAACTGGGATGTAATTTTTAAAAAGAAATTTACTTTGGAGCTAGACTTGAATCCTAATTCTCACTTCCCATTAACTTCTAGTCAAATGTTTCTGTTTTGATAGATGCAATTAAAATATTCAGATTTTAAAGCAATCATTCCTAGGAGAGATATTTCATTTTCTTTTCTTTTGTCTCTTCTAAAGCAACTTTGTATGTCAACTTCCCTCCAAATTGAGCATCACTTATGTATTCTAATACCTTACACTCAATTTATTTTTTAATTTCCCCTTATATTTCTTCCTCTCCTACCATGCCATAGTATAACTTAACAAATCCTAATGAGTTCATAGTGCTTGCTGGGGCATAAATGAAGTTCCTAATTAAAATGAAGCTACTATTATGAATACATTTCTAATTCTGTCCTTAATCATTAAAAATGGTAGTTCTGTACCCAAAGGTTACTTTCTTTTTTTGTATCATAATGAACTCTTTTCTTAGCCCGTACCTTTTATCCAGAAAAGTATGCAGTTTTGTGATCCAATTAAACTTCTTTCTCATGACCTCATCCTTTCAACACAATGTCTGACATGACCACAAGTGGAAACTTATTAAAATATAACATTTGAAAAGTTGGCCCCAAAATAATACATTACTGTCCAAAATATTCAGATAGGTGGGCACATTTTTTAAATCAATTCATTGGCTGAAACTTAAGAAAAGGCCAAGAAGGTAAAAAGAAGGTAAACATTTGTTATAGATCATCCAGTTCCCAAATCAATAATTTAAGTTTTAAATGCCTGGTTGTAAGTTTTTGTGTAGTTCTTTGTGGTTCCTGCTGACTCCCCCCAAAAACAATAGACACAGAAAGATTATCAGTAAGGGAGAGTTAGAGGGAGGCAGCAAGCCAGCTAGAGAGAGAGAGAGAGAGAGAGAGAGAGAGAGAGAGAGAGAGAGATTGAAATCAAGCTGCCTCATAAGGTTTTTACAAGATATTCCTG